CAAACCTCATGTATTTTCCCTCCCAAATCCCTTAGAATTGAAATTAATTTCAGTTCTCAAACAAAGCCCTCCTCCCCTCATCCTTGCTCTACCGCCGGCCTCCCCATCCCCTCTCCAACCCGCCGCCCCTCTCTCCCTCCCATTGGAGAGCCTTTTGCGGCGACCACCCATTCTCACTTTCAAGAATGCATGGAGGAACCCCGAGTGGAACTTCGGGTTTGAGTATGACAACCAAGGAAAAGTTGACATCCTCAAATCACTATTATTCGACGTAGGATTTGATTTCGACGACACCGTCGAAGAATATTTGGATCGGATTCTACCAACACTAGTGGATTCCATCGACGACCATTTTTCCGTCTACACGTGGATCATTAAAGGTCATCCTCCCGTGCCACCTCCACCTCCGAGCTCCTTCTCCACAACGACGTTCCTTGGCACCTCCCTCCTCATGGCAACCTCACTACTAGTTTGGACGATCTTCCGCCGCTCAACCTAGTTTCGTAGGAAAGAGAGAAGAGGCCTCAAGGTGAACAACTCCGAATTAATCGTTGGATTCCAGTCACTAGCTTTTAACTTTATGTTTTTCTTTGTATTTGCTTAAATAGTTTGGTTATCTCCTTGTAATTCCTTTGCCTAAACAAGTTAAACACTAAGAATTGTTGTAGCCAAATTTAATTTGAGACATGATTATATAATTGGTTGAGCTAGTGTTTAAATCTTCTTTTTAATCTTGTGTAACTCAACTCTTGCATCACATCAGATATAGTTGATGTTAATAAGTGATTTAAGTTATTTAGAAGAAAATTGGTTGATGAATAAAATAAAGATGAATCACTGATTGGTGAACAAAGGTTTGCATAAAATATTATTGTGAAAGCAAGCTGAGTTTATAAAAGAAGCTACAAAACTTGAGATCAATCTAAACGGAATGAGAAGGAAATCATGAAGGCATATTAATCACGTAAATGAATTTGAATGGTACGAGGGTGACAAAAATCATGATTTAGGAGATTATGATAAGCTGAAGAAGGAGATGAGTCAATTTTAATTATGAAGATATTAATTATCATGCTAATTAGCGTAGTCTTAAAAAAATGTTATTTGCAAAAAAAAGACTAGTTCTACTGCTATGAGTGGTTGAGGCTAAACATAAATCTTTAATATTTTGATCCAATATTATGCATTTTTATGAGATAATTTTATTTAAAAATTTATTTGTTTTTTGCCATGATAATTCATTTCCAATCTATTCAACTTTCATAAAATCAAGTATGTTAAAATAATCAAAACTTTTTTCTTATATGACATTAATAAAACTTTTTCGCATTTGGATATTTCTATTATATTGCTTAATTATTAATAGTTTATATTTTTTTTATACTTTTAAAATAATATGTATTACGCCATGCTCTAGGCTCCATAAGAACTTTGCACTATAGTATCCTATTTGCTATAGAGAAGTATCACAAAGAAAAAAAAGCCCAAATAGCGGTAAAACCCCCATCGGTGATCAAATCAATCACTTTAGCCTAAAGCCCAATTGAGATCAACAAAAATGACTCCATGGACAAGACCAAGTGCTTTTACATGGCAATCAAGAACTAAGTCCCGTGGTTGAGTCTACACATTTAACTCCACCAAAGTGTAGAATCACAGTGTCACGTATAATGCCCAGTAGTCACCCAAATGTTAGTAGGACCACTAGTAAAACACAAAAAATCTAACTACTTCCAATCAAATGGTACAAAGTGGTCAACTAGAACCATATCAATGCCCCAATCTCGCCCTCCAAGCGACTTGAGGCAGACAAGTTATTATCTACTACTCACCTAGGACAATTAAGATAGAATCAACAAAAATTTGTCCTATACCATCAAATCAATCAATAAAGCCAATAAGGATGCTTTGTGTATATTATTACTATGACTAGATGGGGTAAACTTGGTCAAGGCACAAGATCCTTGAGAATAGAACAAACGAGAACCAGAGCAAAAACAAGGTTCTATGTGTGACAACATTCCGTTGTCAATTCAACTACAGCATCACTTATATCGAGCTAAATTCCAAAAACATACTCGCTAAGAAGACTCTGGGTGACTAGTCCCAAAAGACTATATGGGGGAAGATGAAACAAATGGAAAGCCAACAAGGCATCCAACAAGAACCATTCGGCACCATGATCTAACTGACCTTGTCAAAACTCCAAGAGTTCGACCTAAGAGAGATCAAGAACAATTGGGTCTTTTGGGGCATTATGAGTGTTTAAAGATAAGACATGGTTAGCAAGAGACATGTAGTGCTTTAACATAAAGTCAACAAATATTGGACTACATTGCTACCATTATAAAAATTTCTAATATGCGATCTCTCAAAATGGGCAAAAAACATAAAAAAGGTCAAATCTACAACCCTTCCACGCATTGAAAGGAAATCTTCTTGGAACTACCAAATGTGTATATAAAAAATAGAACAACTTAGACGCATGCCTAAAGGAGTAAAGGAGAAGGCCCACATAAACTATCCAACATAAAAAATATATGGTGTAAGTACTTTGATGAGGACATCGTTCAGAGATTCAGACACGTGTACCGGCGACGGAATCATAGATCGACGGCTACAATTCAGCGTCTCTACTTTTGATGCATTTCTTTATGTTTTATTTAGTTTTGTTGTTTTTCGAATTTACCCATATGGGGAAGTGTTTGTTATTGTAGCCCGGAGGGCAATTGTGTACTTTTCCTTTTTATGTTTGAGACCTACATATATCGGTCTTATGTGTTGTAGGAGAATGATGATTTGATAATGAAAATTTTGTGATTTCTTCTTCTTCTTGTGTGAGCACTAGAGACAAGGGAGAGAGAGCTCAAGGTGAGAGCAAACGCAATACCCACTAGCCGTTAGAAGAGTCCGCGGCTCATGGTTTAATCCATTTTATTTTCTTTTCTTCTCCTCCCCACCCCACTCGCCGGCTCTTTTCCCTTCCACCACCAGCCGTCCTCCCCACCCAAATCCTCCCCTAACTCCACCACCTCAAGCCCCAACCGACGGCCCAAGCCCCTCTCCTCACACTCGACGCCATCATCCCCTTTCCCATTGCTGCCGACCTCCCCTCTTGCACCCCTCCAATTATGATGATTTCAATCATCATAACTCCCTAACTTAGCGCAAGCAATTAAAGGGATGATTTAAATCATTTGAAATTCAAATTTGAATTTCAAATACTTTCCTTATTTAAAAAATCCAAATAAGGAAAGTTAGTATCATGAATCCAATTAAAAATAAATTAAATTGGATTTCTTATTTACTTTCCTAGCCTACAAAGATATATTTGGAAACTCCCAAAATTCTCTCCATAATCCCTATCTCCCCTCATGAAGCCGCCAGCCCCCTTTAGTGGGCTTTTTAATTTGCTTTCCTATTGAAGCCCTCGCCCCACTTGAATTTGAGTTTAAATTCAAATCCGATTTCCCTCCAATTCCACTTAAACCTGAAATTAATTTCCACTTAAACAAATTTTCGTAGCCCTCATCCTAATTTCCCCCCTTACTCCCACAAGCTGCCGGCTCCCCTTCACCCAAACCGCCGGCTCTCCTCCTCTCCCTCCTTCCCTACTTTTCTCCTCCCCTCCTCCCTACTTGCTTGCTAACATATTTTGAGGGAAGCTTGTATGGCCGACCCTAAGGTCGACCACGGCCTCGCCTACAACGCCCAAGGGGAAATCGACATTCTCTGCTCCCCTTTCTACGAGCCGGACTAGGAGTACAACGACTCGGTGGAAGACTACGTCAACCGCATCCTCTACTGCCTAACGGAAATAATCGAGCTTCAAAAACCCAAGGTACCTTGGCTCCTCATCGGAAGATCAACGACTTCTTCTCCTCCAGCTAATTGTCCGGCGAACAAGGCCGTGGTGGCATCATTGGGATTGCTTCTACCATTGCTCCGCTGAACCCAACCCCAAGAGCAAGAGAGAAGGAACTCATGGTGGCTATTTCTTAATGTTACGTCATGGATTCGTGTTTATTTGCTATTAGTATTATTATCTTGTTTTCGTTGTTATTTTGATTGTCTTGTTAAACTCATTGTAACCGCTTGCCATCACTTAATCTTCTAACGGAATTTCTAAGAATTTGACTTGAGTGAACATAAGTTTTTAGCTAGCAAAGATCATGTTCAAATTTTAGTGTTAAAATCCAAAGCAACTCTTATCGCATGTATGTTTCACAGGAGCAAACTATGTCAGCGTTTGATCAACAATTGGAATCATAAGCCATGTTCATGAGCACGTGACAATAACTCATGGGCTATGTAACAACATTTGCAAAAAAACTCTTGCGCATCTTCTTTCCCACTGCCTCAGTCCCATATATGTTTAATCCCACCTCAAACTATATGTGGGAGTTAGCAGGCGTCCCTCACAAAACAAATATCATTTGTTGATCCCTTCAAACAGAATTTAGACAATGTCAACTGAATCTCATTCAATTATGCATCGTGCAGTTTGAATCTGACAAACTTTATCACCCATGACTATTTTTCAACATAAATCAACTAAATTCTCTACACAAGTTTCATTCTTAAGCAAGCTCTGTTTTTACATCATGCTATGCTTGCATGCAAAGATGGAAAAGAAACAACTAAACTTAAAAGGGTCTGTTTTGTTCACTGTTATTTGAATAAAATTGCTATCTACATGGCAATGCTATTAAGATGACAATGATACCTACTAAATGAAGTGTTTTTTGATCTAATGTCGTCTTTATTGAATAATGCATGTTATTAAACAATCAACTATGATCACAACTTTTCTTCTTCTCTTTTTCTTTTGGTCATAGAGAATGAAGAGATGGGGTTATCCATATTATGACCATTAATGCTATTCAGATTAACTCGATGTGAGGTGCAAAATCAAATGAAACTTTGAGTAAAGTAAACATACTTTGCAAAGAAAGCAATAAAACAAAGATCCCTTAAACAAAATAAAGCATATATCTTACAGAACATAGCCAAAACGTCCATCTGGCAGTATCATAGGCACCATTGTTACACCAGGAGCGGTGCCTCTTCCGTAAGCCACAGGCTGCAACCAAAGGAAAATCAAATAAGCATAAGCTGGTTATGCTGAGAAAAGTCGAGGCAGATCATATAGTACCTTGACAGACCATCTCAAAACCTAGGTATTGAAATCAAAAGCAAAAGAAGAAAGACAAGACAAAGTAAAAGCAGATATACCCGAGCAAAAGTAGCAGGCTGAGCACCATAGGCACCTCCAAGTAAACCTGGTTGCAAAGAGCCTTTTCTTAAATCAGTCACAGTCACAGATGGCACTTTTTTATCAGCCGGAGGTTTTGCAATGGAACACTCAAGAACACGCCCTATTTCGAAGAAAAGAAAATTAATAATAACTCAAAGTAAATATAGATGATACAGAAAATAATAATTGTCCATTCAATATGAATAAAAGATTACCATCAAGTTCATATATCTCAGTGTTCTGAAGTGCTTTCATGGCAATTGATCTCTCTGCAAAATGCACGAAACCAATCCTATTCTCCTGTCCAGATTTTACAATAGGCAGAGCAACTTTCGTAATTTTTCCATGGCGTTCAAATAGCTTTTTCAGCTTATCTTCAGTTACAGTATTGGGCAAATTTTTTACATATATTGCCTTAATCTGTAACAATGAAAATAAAAACCATGTTAAGAAAAATAAAGGAATAGCCAAGCAAGCCAAAAGAAACATGCAAAATACCTGCGAAGCTGAAGAAGAGTCCCCACTTTTTGGTTCTGCCCAGTTCACCGTAAGGGCATTGGAATCTAGCTTAAATTCTGGGATTGACATTTTCTTTCGAGAGTACTCTGCACATACATGATTGTAGTATTCAATAAATGCAAAACCCCGATTGCGAGAAGAATTTTGTGGATCCTGGAGAATAAAAAATGAAAAATAAAGATTTAACATAGAAAACAATAGGCCAAAGTCTCACACTAGGCATATAAATCTACTGAACAAAAACGCAAGGGAATAGTCAGCCTACAAAGAAACGTGGAAAACACAACATCGTCAGGACAGGGTAAATACACAAATACGTCTGCAGATTTCAAATTATTTACTTAAAAGACCCTGGCATTACGTGTTATTGCAAAGTTAGGCAATGGTGTTGGACCACGCATATAAAACTACCTTTATTAGTTGCACACCAATTAAACCTGGACCGATTTTTGATACAACATTCTTCAAATCATCCTCAGTCCAGTTCCTGGGTACATTGCCAATAAAGAGCTTATTCTTTGCTTGAGATGTCGAGAACTTGATCTTTTTACCCTGCCACAAGTTGCAGCACATCAAATCATAAGAAATTCATAAAGAGACAGGAGCAAATGACAAAAGGCCACCCAAATAATAGTAAGATATGATCAAGAAAAACCATCAAGCAAATGGGTTGAACTAAGATAAAAATCTAGTAAACGATAACTTTATCACAAAGCAAAAAGACTTGTACAAAACTAGGGGTGTCAAAAATTGACATGAAATGGAAACCCGACACAAACCTGATCCCAAATTTTCGGGTTAAGGTCAACCCATTTGAAAAATGGGTTGGGTTTGCATCTCAATTTCCGACCCTTTTCAAGTTTCGGGTTGGGTTCAGGTCAACCCGATACTAACCCGTAATGACCTGCGCCATTTTTATTAGGGCAAACGCAAGTAGCGCGCGGGCAGGCGAGACTCGGGCAACATGTTGCTGCTTGTAACCTTGTTATATGCTTATAATTCGTTTCGTTTTGCATGAGGGATTTAGGCATTTAGCGGCCGCTCGCTCGTTCTGTCTTTGTCAGTTCGTCTATCTAGGGTTTCTCTGCGGGAGCTCCCCTCGCTTACATTGCGTCGAATCCCTTCATCCCTCTTCTAATTCCTTCAGCTTTTCAGCTTATCCGTTGCTTAGCAGCTTCCTGCTATTGTGTGCGTTCATAAAACATAAGCTCTCCTCTCCTATCTATCATCACAGCTTCAACTCTCAAGAAAAATTACACTGTTTGTATCTTGTCTGTAGTACGATTTTTTGATATTTTAGAAGCTGAAGCATGGAAATTTTGTGTGGTTATTACTGGCTAGGGTGTTTTTCATTTGCTTTAATGCTTATCATGCTAAGATTTTACATGATTATTTTGTCTAATATTTTGTTTATACCACTTGCAAAAGAAGATTGGTCATTTGGTCTCAGTTTTGGCCATTTTCCCGAAGTAGTTAGGGCATCATTTATTTTCCCATTTTTCATTATGATCTTTTAGGGCTTTACAATTTTTTCCAATTCTAACTTCTTATTAGTTGACATAGTTGATAGTTATTTGGTTATTTCCTTTATGCGCCCTTTATACAAGTTCAGTTGGAATTGAAATATTGAATTAATGTGTTCATGGTGTACTGGCATATATTTATTTTAAAGGCCTATTTAAGATGTTCATTTGCTCACTAAAAATATGTTATTGGTTTACATTTTCAGTGCTGGAATTACTCAAATGTATTAGAATAACACTATTATACAGTCTTACACTCTCACCGATTCAATTTTAGTTCACTTAAAATCTGAAATTTCAGTAATGTGTTTTAGTGTTTTTCAATTCCAGTTTGACATGTAAGAAATATTTAATTTTTTGCATTGTGATGTCTTCTAATATTTTGGATAGATGGAGGACTCTAACATCATTCCTAAGAATTTTTTATTTTGATGAAAATGAACAAGTTGGGGGTTATAAAAATGTGATAGAGCCATGTAATAATGAATGTAATGAAGAGAGAAGAAGAGAAGGGGGAGGAGGAGGTGGAGTTGCTAAGAAGCGGAGAAGAATAACTTTAGCTGTTTGGGGTCATTTTGAGAAGTTGCATATTCCAAAAGATGGTAAGCAAATGCATAAACGTAAGAAATGTGGCGTTACATATTTATGTAATGGCAAAAATAACACTGGTAATCTAAGACACCATTTGGAAAATTGTAAGAAAAGAAATATGCGTGATATTGGACAGCTCATTTTACAACCAAACTCTGAATCATCCATTTATGTGACTGATAGTAAGTTTGATCCGTCAGAACTTCGTGACTTGTTTACTGCATGTATCATTATGCATGACTTGCCCTTCTAGTGTGTTGAGTGGGTTAGAGTTCTAGCTCTTTTGGCGTATCTTCGTTGGGACTTGCAAATATTTTTTAGGAATACTGCACGAAGTGATCTTAAGAAATTATTCAGTAAAGAAAAGTGTCATATACGTTTACAGTTAGCTAAATCCATAAACAGGGTGTTCTTAACATCGAACCTTTGGAATTCTATTAATACGGATGAGTTTATTTGTTTAACAGTACATTTCATAAATAATGATTGGCATTTGTAAAAAATGATAATTAGCTTTGATTTCATGCACCACTCATGATGGCATTGCATTGTTTGAAAAGATACAGTCTCTTATAATAGATTGAAAAATAGAGTAAACTTTTCAGCATTACTTTGAATAATGCTTCAGCAAACAATTGAATTTCTAAGAAATCATTTAGCTTTATGTGGTACTTTGCTTTGTGATGGTGTGTTCTTTCATGTGTGTTGTACAACCCATATTGTTAATCTCATAGTTTAAGAGGGTTTGAAAGAGATCAATAGTCCAATAATAAAAATCAGGGAGAGAGTTAAAGTATGTCAAAGGCTCTCAAGCGATGAAGCAAAAGTTTCTTTATTGCATCAAATGAGTTGTCTAGATGGAAAGAGAGGTTTGCGTCAAGATGTTCCGACAAGATGAAACTCTACTTTCATCATGCTTGTTAGTGCTATCTACTACCGACAGACTTTTTACTATTTAGAATTGGGTGATTCAAATTATAAGAATTTTTCAAGTAGTCTTAAGTGGGAGAAAGTTGAAAGCTATTTGCACTTTCTTTAGCTCCTTCCTATGAGATAACATGTGTCATATCTGGCACAAAGTACCCAACAACAAATTTATATTTTCCTTGCATTTCAACAGCTTATGCATCATTGAAACATGAAATGGTAAGTCGACAAGATTACATAAAGAGAATGGCTGCAGGAATGAAAGCCAAAATTGAGAAATATTGGTATGAATTTAGTGTTATATTGGCCATAGCTGTCATTTTAGATCCAAGGTACATTTGTTGAGTGGTGCTATAAGAGACTATATGAAGGTGATTATCTCTATGAACTAAGAAAGGTTAGAGGGAAGTTGTTCTCTTTATTTGCAAACTATAGTTCAAGAGGGAATGGATCAACAGAGCAACAATCACGTGCATCCCAAATGATAGAACATGGTACATCAAGAAGTGCATCTTTAACTATAATTAAGTCACAATTTCTTTAGGTATTACATTCAGTACAATTAATTTAATGGTACATATATTTGTTCATTTCAGTACAATTAATTTAATGGTACATATATTTGTTCATTCCAATATATCTTCATTACAATTATTTTTGATGAGTTTCACACAAAGGACTTTGATTCTTTTCAAGAGGAAGTTGTTATGCCTAGGAAATAAGAGTTACAAATTTATTTAGATGAGCCAAACTTATGCATAAAGATTTATTTAGATATATTGCACTTCTGGAAAGGCAACCAATACAGGTTTCATGCTGTATCCGCTATGGCTCAAGAAGTTTTGTGCATTCCTATAACTACAGTGGCATCTGAAAGTCCTTTCAGCAATAGCGGTAGCATACTAGATCAATATCGAAGTGCACTAAAGCATGACATCTTTGAGGCACTAGTCTGTGCAAAGGATTGGTTGTATGTAGAACATGGTGCTTTAGTGTTCATCCTTGCCCTATTTCATTTCTGTTTTTAGCACATTTAGAAGTTGGGCTCAAATCCATTTCTTTTATTTGTTGTAGTAGTACATAACCCTGAACATGATATTGTTACAAATGATGTCCTCTATTTACATGTCAATCAGAATAATGGTTTGCATAACCAGGTAAAAGTACAATTATTAGATGAGAATGTTGTTTATGGGAAGTTTGTTAAATTTACTCGTTGTTAGACATCTAATTAGTAGTTGAGTAACATACTATTATTGCATGATGACATTGAGATATGTGGTTTTTTGGCTTGTCTATTAGGAGTTTGTGTGGTAGTTTTATGTGGTTGGTGGCAAGTTTTGTATGCTTCTGTTTTCTGGGACCGGGTACTGGTTTTTCTTTTGGCTTTGGGGCCTATTTGGTTTTCTCCATTATTGGTCTGGAGCTGTTGTTTGGGTTTTTTCTATTAGTGGGGGTGTGGTGGTAGTGTCCACGGTGTTAGTGTTTTCTTTGCATGCTTGGGATTTTCTTTTAGATTTGGGCTATTGTGGTCAGGCCGGTTGCTGTTTAGTTGGTATTGCTTAGATTTTTGCAAGTTTGGACATTTTCCACTTTGATTTGTTGAATCATTTTTCATTTTGATTTGTTGAATCATTAGCTTGCTGTTGGAGTGTTGATTTTGTTATTAACTGCTTCATTTGTGGTTTGTTATTATAGTTTCCCGCCAATATCATGTGGTTGTTATGGATAAGCCTGCTCAACTTCTGTTTGTCTCTTGATATGTTATTCAGTTGATTGGTTACTGTTTTGATGAGTTGATTTTAGAATCCAACAAGCTGTATGTTCGTTATTTGAGCCTTGGGGTTGGTGGATTGCTGTATTGTTGAAACCTGTTGTCATATACTCATATATTATTTGTCGTTTTATGAAGCAATGATGATAAACCTTCTAAAATGAAAGTGGTAAACATATCAGTGTAAGTGCTATTACAATTTACAACCAGGTGGCATTTATATTCTCTTAGAATGAGCATATACAATCTAATTGAATGAACAGATACTTACAATGCTAATATAAACCACCACCTTGTATGGTAATATACTAATATTTATTACACTTACAATTCATTATATGATTAATGATTTGGAGGGTTTAATCTGAGTGGGGTTCAAGTTTTCTAGCTATTTAACTGGTTTTATTGAAGTTAAATCTATTTGAAGATTGAAGACAGATTCTTCAAGCAATTTTTTGGGGGACTCTTCTGTATTTTATAAATTGAAGACAGATTCTTCAAGCAGTTAAAGTGTAATTTATAGTTTTCATATTCAGATTTATTGTAAAATCTTTTATATTTTGTAAATTGATTTTTATCTCCCCTAAAAAGACTTGGTTAGAAAATATTAGAAATTATCTTTCTTTATTAGATTTAAACGAGAATTTGACTTTGAACATGACACATTGGAGAAAAAGGATTCATGTAGCCGACCCCACGTAGTGGGACAAAGGCTTGATGTTGTTCTATTTTGTAACTTTTGTTAATTTACTTATAGTTTATATTTTGTAATAATTATTACAAAGTGTAAACTGTTTCTAATTTATATGTGATAAATTGATAATTGGTGTAAACTGTTCTAATTTTATACTTTATAATTTGTACTTTGTATATTGGTTATGGTAAATAATTTGATGAAACGAAACTTGCCTTAAATGTAAACCATATGTTTGTTGCTTTAGACCCGGGTTGGCGGGTCATGTATGGTTGAACTGGACTCGAAGCGGATTTTGGGTCTAAGAATGTGACCCGTTTTTAAAAAATAGGTCGGGCTCAGGTCGGGTCAAATAATGTCGAGTCAGTTTTGGGTTAGACCCAAACCCGACCCGAAACTTGATTTTGACAGCCCTATACAAAACATATTGTTTAAAGTAAAAAACTTATCCTAATGAGCATATAGGAGACCATATATCATAGCAATCTTGTATCTAAAGGAAAATGAGAAAGTACTCAAAGGAGCAAATTTTAAAATGTCCATGGATTTCCACCATTGCGTACTCATTATTGACTTGGTAACTAATAGAGCTTCTATACCCCAGGGGAGCCACCTTGTGGGGCCCAGGAGTTAATTTTCATTATGTAAGGAGGAGAAATCAGGGGAGAAATAATTAGGAAATTTATTTCGAGAAAGATGTTGCTTATTTGAATTTAGATTGGGAAGAAAATTATGATATTTATTTAAGGAAAGAGGACTGATTTGAATTCAGATTTGGGAGGGAATTAAGAAGGTTTTATTTAAAGAAAAATGATTGATTTGAATTCAGATTTTGGATGGAATTAGGAGGGTTTTATTAAGGGAAAGATGACTCATTTGAATTCAAATTTGGGAGAGAAATATGATGGTTTATTTAAGGGTAATTAGGTTGTTTTATTTTCATGATGTGATTTATGTTTGTTATAATTTTCTTAGGAGTTGTTCATAATGGCATCTAGGGTTTGTGGGAGAGCTAATCTACCTCTTGAATAGTAGATAGTTTGTATCTTGCTTTATTATTGAAGGAGAAATAAGAAAATCATCCCTATCTTCGTATTACTGCAATTTCTATTGTTTCTTTCACTATTTTTACTTCCAAGACGTATCAAATTTGTATCAGAGTGACGTTTGGAGAGATGCATCAAAGAAGGTGAATGCGTTGGAAGACAAAGTGGAGCAAATCAAATCCCGGATGGAGGAAAAATTATCAACTATCGAAAGAAGGTTTTGAACCATGGAAGAAAGGTTTACAATCATGGAGAGCCGATTGGAAGGGATGGAGGAAAAGGAGGAGCTCATTGAAATTCAATCCAAAACTCCACTAGTGGTTCCGATTACTAACCCTAACCAAGTGATGTGAAACTAAATGCGATAGACAAGAATTGCTTGTTAGAAAATTAATAACTTGTGAACTTGCGTTGCTAATTTAAAATAAATGCGTTCCAAGATAGATCATAAGAAATTTTCATGGAGGAATTAAGCAAATCAATTACCTTAGAAGCGACATGAAACCAACAAAATTAATCCAATGGATAAGTAATAAAGCAAATGGCTCTTAACAAAAATCCAAGGCTTAAGATATAGATCCTTCACCTTGAAGTCCCTCACTTCACTCATGGATTCACTCGGTTAGCGGAAGAGGATGACATACAAACTCAACGATGCCACTATCACACAAGTGACGCCGAGAAGACTAGTCGCCGGGGAAGAACCCGGATTTGGGGAAGATGGTGGACGCCCGTTGATGATCCAATCGTCGGCCGAAAGTTGTTCGTTGATGACGTCCACAAGGGTGGAAAGGATACAGTTCAAGTAATCCTCGCCGGTGTGGTCGAAGCCGAACCCAACGTCAAAGAATGACGAACGGACGACGTCGATATCTCCTTGAAAGTCATACGCAAATCCGTGATCAAATTCAGGATCTGCCATTCATGTTCGTAATAAATGGAGAAGAGAGGAGGTGGCGGCTTGGAGGGGAGTGAGGGTTGGGCCGGCGTGAGAGCTTGAGAGGGGTGGCTAGAGTGGGAGGCCAGGAAATAAAATCAGGAAATTTGAGAAATTATTTTAGGTTTAGGTGAGTAGGAGGGGATTAATTTGAAATTTTCAAATTAAATCTAAGTAGGGAAGCGGGCAGCAATGGGGAGTGAATGGGCCTAATTTGGTGGGGAATAGGGAGTTAATTTGGGAGAGAGAGAAACCCCATGAAGGGGGCCGGCCACATATAGAGAGGGAAGAGAATAATTGTCATTAATGAGTGGGGTCCACATCACTAATCAAGGATTTATTAAAATCTGAATTAAATTTCATATTTTGTAAGAAAGGGAAGTTTCCGAATAGAAGGGCTATCAATTAGGATTAATTTAAATTTCAAATTAAAATTGAAACTCAATTAATATGATAGCCTAAAATCAAGGAGTTATTTTAGGAAAGTAGTCATTGCCTCATGAGAAATTTGAATTCACATTCAAGACCCAAGAGGGGCCGGCGGCAAGGTTGGATGGCTGCAAGGGGTCCGCGGGTGGAGCTCTTGGCCGGCGATGGGGTTTCAGCAGGCGGCTAGGTTGGGAGGGACGGCGGGATGGGCTTGGTGGAGAGAACCGTGAGGAGGAAAACAAGGGGAGAGAGTCACGGATCTTGGGAGGAGGAAAAAGGAAATTTAAAACCCACAAGCCTCAACTCTTCATCCGCAATAACTCACAAAGAGATCTACAACACTACCTCCTCAAGAACTCACAAAGAGATCTTGAGAAAGCACCACGAACTCACAAAGAGATCAATAAGGGAAAAATTTCATTCAACATTAATCATCCTTACACAATGCATGAGGCCTCTTATAAATAGACCAAAATGAAACTAAAACTAAAAGACCGTAAGGGTAAAACAGTAAAACTGAAAAAAAAAACAACTACATAAAATGACTCAAAATATAAACTCATGATCGTTCCCGTCGATCTCAGGTGGTACACGTGTCGAAATCACTGACGATGTTCTCATCACCAAGATTTGATTGGAATTCTCTAGGCCAAATATAAGGAAAAGCAGATTAGATGGGATAAGTTTGACGAGGAGAGTTTTTTTCATCAAGAGCCACCTCTTTAGGCTCCGATAAAGTGTGAATCAAGGTTTCTGGATGAGGCCCTCATGGTTCTACTGGAAAGGCCTTCATGGTTCTACTGGAAATGACTACCAAGGGAGCATTATTCCACGTGACTATCTAAATCTCGAAGTCCCAACAATTGTTGAACTACCTGAACAGTTCATGACTTTTATGCAGTCCACAGATTCTGGAGAGCTCTTTTACATCTTCCATCGGGATGATGCCCCAAACTGAGTCTATTATACATAAGTATGTCATACATTTTATTCCCTTAACAAAAAGTTGTCAATTCGTTCTCAACATCCTAGGTTTATTGTTCAGAAAATAGTTATCAAATGGAAGGATTTGCCAGAGCATGAAGCCACATGAGAACCTTACGAACTGATCATGAGACAATTCCTATCATTCCACCTTTAGGACAGGTGTTGTTTTTTAGATGAATTGATATGCCAGGGAGGCACACATGGGCCACATTGTGAAGCCTAGTGAAGTTAATTTTCACTATGTAAGGAGGAGAAATTAGGAGAAAAATAATTAGAAAAGTTTATTTAGGGAGAGATGACTGATTTGAATTTAGATTGGGGAAGTAATTAAGAAATGTTTATTTAAGATAAGAGGACTGATTTGAGTTCAAAATTGGGAGGAAATTAGGGAGGTCTTATTTAGGGAAAGATGACTCTTTAAATTAAGATTTGATAGGGAATTAGGAATGTTTTATTAAGGGAAAGAGGGCAGATTTGAATTCAAATTGAGAGAAAAATATGATGGTTTATTTAAGGGTAATTAGGTTTTATTTTCATGATGTGATTTATATTTGGTGTAATTTTCTTAGGAGTTGTTTCTAGCAGCGTCTAGGATTTGTGGGAGAGCTAATCTACCTCTCGAATAGTAGATTACTTGTATCTTGCTTTATTATTGAAAGAGAAATAAGAAAATCAGCCCATATATTCGTATTCCTACAATTTCTACTTGTTTCTTTCGCTAATTTCACTTCTAAGACGTATCACATTCTCAAGGCATAATCACATTAAAGTAATAAATGCTTAACAGGCTAAAACACTCAAGATTTATGGCAGCTGTTTGTTGGAGAAATAAAAATGAATGAACTGAAATAATCAGATATTTAGTAATGCAGGCTAGATGGAGGCCAGCCACACAAAAAGGTGAGATAATAAGGGCATGCAGCTCAAGGCAAAAGTATTACCCACATGGTTTCTACATTACCCACGCAGCAAACTAAAAACTATGCATCAATTAAAGTAAAACCCATACCTTCAACTCAGTATTATTCAGAGACTCAATTGCATTTTTAGCCAATTCCTTGGTCCTGAATGTAACGAACGCATAAACCTTGTCCTTCCCAGATATAATCCTAACCTGTAATCAAAATTGAAAACTATCAGATGCGTGCACAAGAATTCTTACAAGCTAGGACCAGTATAGCTCACCTCCACAACTTCACCAACTTTTTCACAAAAGCTCCTTAGATCTTCATCAGAAACATCACTAGATAAGCCACCAATATAAACCTCAGAACCATGCGGAGGAAGAGCAAGTAGCTCATCATGAATGTCATCATTATCATCCTTCATATCATCACCATAAGTAGTGATTGCAGGGGCGTCATCAGTCTTGGCACCCGCTACCTCCTCACCTTCACCCTCCTCTTCCTCTTCCACTTCCTCATCCTCTCCTATCTCTACCTCTTCCTCTATCTCTACCTCTTCCTCAACCTCCTCTTCAACCTCCTCATATTCAACATCATCTTCCAGGTCTTCAGGTTCAGCAACCACCTTCCGTTGAGGCTCAGGTTCAGCAGACTTGGTAGTTTGAGCACTAGTTCCACTCCTTGGCATTTTACGTTATCTCAAATGAACTTGAAAGGGAGCCGTGAAGGAGACACGGATGCCAGTAATTTTTGTACAAGCAAGGCTGAAAAATATGAAGATGAAAGAAATGCAACCGCCAACAGAAGCTGCAGCTTAATAATACTGACTCAAAAAATGTCATGGGGAATAGCTCAAGGGAATCTCAATGGAAGATATACCAATGGAATGAGCAAAGAATAATACATTATTGGCAAAAGAAAGAAACATTCACACGATAATCAAGAGATGATGCTCCATAAATGTTCATAATGATGTCTTTTGCTGTTTCGATAACATGCTGAAGCTCATAATATATATTGGCAAAAGGAATCAAAATAGTGAAGGAAACATGACAAATCAACAGAAGAAATAAACAAAAAGGAATTAAGAATAGAGCATACTGAACTAGTCAAGGATTTAGAAATAACATATAAAAAATGATCAGCACAGAAAACATTGTAGAAAATAGAGACAACTAAGATTGATGATATGTGAATAGATCTGCAAAAGTGGGGTTGGAAAAAGTTTGAAAGGACTGCATTAAATTATACTTAATCTGCGCATTTGAGAATCCCACAGTTCTGCAAGTTCACATAACAAAACAGTAACATTTAGCTAGGTCTGACAACAAAGAATAATGCACAGGATACATTTCATGAAAAAATTGCATCTCGCATGAGTATTATACAAGGACAAGCAAAAAAAAATTGCCAGCCAAGATGAAGCTTAACTTCACTCATAGATGAAAAAAGAACAAAAATGTCTCTATTACCATGCATCTCTGTAACCAACCAAGGAGCGCCAAGTTTTTTAAAAAGGAGCATATGAGATTTTATTATCTTTTGCAAACCATGGTTTGGTAATATCTATCCTCTCCGCCATCAGAACATAAAAATCCTTATTCTATATTCACTCCCATAGATATCGCATTAGGTTTGAAACAATTTTGCTAAACTTCTTACCTTGTAAACTATTATGAGATACTCAGATTTCTTTCTTAATATTTTGACATTAATTTCTTTGTTCGACTTGTTGATGAGCCATCATCTACTCTCACTAACCCTAAAAAATAATCATTTCTCAATTTATCCAATCAATCAACGCATCCATCTTAATTCTCATTTCTAGGACAATCAAAACAATGATTTCTTAATATCCAAACAATTTCTTCAATAAAGCATAGCTGACGAGATTGCAATTTTATAAATTTGTATGTAAGCCTCCATGATATTCTATTATGTGTTTAGTACTCCTAAAGAACTTTTCATTTTATCAAAAAATCTTAATTTACTTTTTATATCCTTATTTACATCCTCATTTATTGAGATAATCATGGATCCATAGCCAACATCTTTCCATCTATAACAAGCCAGCAATTTGTCGGAAGTAGCTTTCCATCTACAAGAATTGAATAATATGAAAACATCAACTTTCCACCTACAACAATCTTTCAATCTGACAACAGCTTTTCATTTGCAGCAATCCAGCAATCTATTAAGGACAATAACATTTCATTTATATTGCATATTTAATTCTAGATTTCATAATTAAAGGTAGGTTTTCAAATTTATTTCTTTCCACGATAGTTGTTTCTTTACCTAATTATACGTAGCTTCTCATCTTTTTATTCATATAATGAATAAAATTCAATAATACAATCTCAACTCTCCTCGCTTTTCATTATAATTTTCAAGATGGCACCAAAGCCATTACGGCTATACTCTTTGTGAGATTGGTAGGTCCTTTAAAATAGGTCTCTCCTTGAAACTAACAAATCCTTCACCAACACTAAAACAAGAGTTGTAAAATGTATGTAAAGGATCCTTCTGAAAAGCAGACAATGGCAACTACCATAAAGAAGCAAATGGTCAAGAAGCTAGCAACTCCAACGCTAAAAATTCAACCTAAAAATAAAAAGTCAATATCAAAAACATAAAATATCCATAATGTTAAATCTCAACCTCACGATCACAACAGAAATCCGCGGCTGTGAACAGTAATCCGTGGGAAGACTACCTGGATCACATTAATTCCTTCCATAGTTGATTTATTGATTCAGGAATAATTGTATTCTCATTATTATAGAGTTATTTGTTTCCTTATCAATACACCTTGTATAGATCTATAAATAGGGAGTGAATTGCATAATAAAATTCAAGTTTTTCCTCTCAAACTTCCTGATTGCAACATGATATCAGAGCTTTGAAGGAAGTAAAGAGGAAACCATCGAAAGCCAGAGTCTAGCGGGACGAAGACCTACCGGACGCAGCCTAAGGCCGAAGTCTCGATCTCAAGGGACGGAGCATTGCCAATGGAGCCCGAAGCCTAGCAGATAGAGCCGGAAGTTGCGTCCTCACGAGATAGAGCTTTGCCAACGGAAGACGAAGCCTCAAGCCACGATCTCAGGGGAGAAGTTCTGCCGACAGGAGACGTAGCTTTGACGACGGAAGAAATCTCGCCACGATCTCAGGAGAGAAGTTCGGCCGACGGGAGACGTAGCTTTGCCGACGGAAGAAATCTCGCGGAGGAAGCCTTGCCGACAGCGAGAGAGGAAGCCAAAGTACGAAGCCGGGAGCTGCGTGCGTAATCTTGCAGGAGAAGCAAGGAGCTCCTTGCGTACACTCTACCCGATCCGAGTCTCTTAAAGACTCGGCTCGACCCTATTAATTAAAACGAGAAAAAAAAAATCGACAAATTTTTGGGAGCCTTCAGTGTTGTCCAAAAGTCAAATAGATAGTCTTCATCATGATTTAAAATTGCGCAATATGAGGCTCGCCTTTGCGCAATTCCAGTAAAAAACGCCTTGATGCTTACGTCTCGAGTTTTTTTAATGAGGCTTGCGCTTCAACTTTGATGCTATCAAGAATTTTTGTACTTTTTATTTTATTTGAACAATAGTATATTTTGTTTTCTTTTCTTTTTTAGCTATCCAATGATGGGAAAGCATCCAATGATCATGGTAGGTAGTGCATATGGCTTGGTAGACCTATGGTTTGCTGGCTCGATTGGTCCCTGGCTGCTGGTGGTTCACGGGTTGGTTGTTTTGGAGCATTCGGTTTTGAGCTTGTTCTCTAAGTTGCTTGAGCTGAAGTTTAGTAGCTCTTTAATTCTCAAAAGGTACCTCATTATGAAGTTTACTTTTGGAGTGGCCTTGTCCCTTCCCCTTCCCCTTTCTTCTTGTCTCTTGGGAATTCGTGGCTTGTATTAATTGGGGGGCTGAATTCTATGCTTTGAATTCATTGGGAAGTTAATGATTTTTATGCTTTACCTCTTGGGATCTCACGGCTGGCTCCTTATTCCGTGAACGTTCCTCGTTTTCCGTGGCTGTGGCTCTCGGTCCGTGCGGTTCCCTCGTCTCCCGTGTCTGTCTCCTTGGTTCCTTGTTTGGATGTTTATCCGTGAGCTTTGGGGGAGATTTCTATGCTTATTATGCTTTGGTTCTAATGGAAATTAAAGACATGTGGCTCTTGGCATTCCTCTCTCTTGCCTATAAATATTAGAAAATGTTATGAAAGAAGGCAGTTGATATTTGTGAGCATATTTGCTATTAACCTGCGGGTTTATTCGGAAATCCTGCGGGCTCTTTCCAACCTTCTTTTCTCATCCCCTCCGGAAATCCTGCGGGCTCTTTCCACCCTTTCTTCTCGGGCTTCTAACCTCTTTCGTCTCTCCGCAAGTGCCACTCCATCTGTATCCTTCTTCTCAAAGTAAAGCAACTTTAGGGTGTCGTATCAAAGTTGATTTGAAGCGTCTATTGAAGAATTGGACCAATCTTGCAGTGGTGGACCATCGGTTTGCTAGTTCTATGCACTTATTTAACCTACAAATTCGATGCATGTGAGGAACCCGCTCTGACGGTTATATGAGGATAGCGTCTTTTTAAATTTCTTCATTTCTTTAAAATCTCCTAGCATCTTTTGTTGTGTTTGT